TATGACTTGGTCGTCCCGTTAAAAAAGGTTTTTTTTTAATTCAATCTAGTTTGCAGATAAGCAAATCAAATATCGACATCTTGGGTTCCGCTCAAGTGAAACTTTGGTGTTAGTTGTTGACTTGTAACACGCATAGGGAACGTGACCTGGCCGCAATCCAACTGCATGGCTAGCCATCAATCAACACTATGACAGTGGACTATCCTGAACAATCGTGTTGAACCCGGTGACTTTTTGGGAATCTTGCGTGATTCGGTCTTGCGGCCGGGTCCTGACTTGAGATGGCCTGTATCTTTAATCTTGGGTGAACTTTGAGTCGGAAATTGATCAAAGCAGCTGATTTTGACTCTTATCTCCTCCGAGCAGTTTGTGATTTCATATATCAAAGGTGAGAACCGTAAAGACGCTAAGGTTGAACTCTTCACGTTGGGCTGACTTCCGGATTGCGTTGAATGTTCATGCATCACTGTCAGTGACTGTAACATTAATGCTGCCCGGAGAGTTCGAGCCTGAAGTCACTTCTGGTTTTGAAACAACTATGGCTTCATCAATATTCATGTGTTATTGACACTTGCAACGTGTCAGGGAGTCGAGTTGGCGTAGCGGTACTTTCCTCGCCTTCCACCGCTGTGACCCGGGTTCGAATCCCGCCTGGGCCAACACGTGGATTGGGTTTTCAGTCCCTGTCTGATTCCGTGGGTTTTTCCCCAGAATATTCTTCTGGGATTTTCCTCCCACTTCTAAAACTGTAATTTCTTCTCATTGTCTCCTCTCTACATGTTTCTTCAGGCTTGCGAGCTACATAGGGCACTTTTGATTAATCCTTGGTTTCATTACCAGAAATAATTAATTATGATAATCATGCAATATGTCCCAGTTAATTACTCGAGAAAAAATGCCAGACGCAGCGGCGCTCTCTTCATTGATAATGGATGATTTTGAGCTTTGTTCTTTATGTGGAGAACTAGGGAGCATTTGCTCACTCGCCACTAGTGCAGCTCTGTTTACGTGGGAAGACTGGCTCATGTCTAGGCGCTCTGAGCAAATTTTCGTTAATATGCGGAAAGTGTGTTGGTTAAACTTACTTCCTCGCATCGCGTCACAAAATACAGATTTTCCTCTTTCACATGAATATAATTTCTTCATGATCAAAGGCGAATAATTATGTGCACTTTTTCATTGAAAAACGGGCAACTCAGTGAAAATTTCGCGTTTCCTATCATAATGGAGGTCACGGCACATTTCCCCTATTTTTGAGGGTGCGGGTTTACTTCTTCGAACAGCACACGTGTGAACCCGGTCGCATACAATTACCTCGCACGGTTTCTGAAAGATATTAGGCAATAAGCTTTCCATTCATGTAACAACCGTTTAGATTGGTTGAGAAGAACAAGGGGCACTTTTGTTGTCAAATCAGACATTCGTATCACCACCAACATGCATGCACCGACACTGCCAGCAACACTTTAACAGTCTCATGCAATAGACACATATATTTCTTTCAGGATTGTTTTATTTACACTTAAATGTCATTCACTTCAAACACACTTATTTGTACACGTACACCTGGGAAAATGAGCATTAAAGTATACACTATTTGGGGGTAATATACATTTCACAAGCCAATTATTGAAATGGATTCTTAGGGGTCAATAACACGAACAGCGGGATGTCACAATAAGTTCTCATTAATTAACAACCTGCCATAGGGAACAATAAACAAGAAGCTAGGATATATAAAGTGGTATCCCCAATCCGTAAAGGCCTGATAGTCCATCAAGAGTTCGTAAGTTTGTTTGACTTGACCTGACATATTCTACTCTAATTCAATTTGCCATATAGGAAGTTGGTTGTTCCGGTATAATTATCTCTCCTGTTGCCGCTACTGAGGGCGCTGTTGAACATTTGGCATTTTTCTCTGTATGTGTTACACATAAATGTAAGGTAAATGTCAGTGGGACGTTTTGAAATATAATCGTCAACTCGTCTACTCCACAATAGTTTTCTTTGGACCAAATCTGAGAATCTTATTTTGTTATTCTCGGCACCGAGTTAGTATCTTGCATATTCCCTTTATTGAAAAATAAAGTGCCTCCATTTCTTGTCCATGTCTCGCTGTTCGCACATTTGTACCTCTTAAGATTTTCTTTGATGGGTCTTTAAATAAAAGTCTAATTGCTCATGGTACCTGTTGTAGCCACTCCCTATTAATTCCCCACATAGTGGGGCAGATAGGGGAACTATCTGGGGAATTGTACCTTTGATGACACAAGCGTGGAATTTGGTACATGAGAAAAATATTTGGCTATATAGGACCATCGCAGATCAGTCCTCTGAAAAAATTATAGGTAGAAACCAAGCAATTTTCAACATTTTCAAAATGGCTGCCATAGCTTGTTATTCTACCTATATGTTTTCATAGGACAAATCTGCGATGTCCCTAAAGCCGATTATCTTTCTCATGACATACTCTGACTGTGTGCCAAACTCCGTGCTTGCATCATCAAATCCACAATTCCATCACCTTTCTGCCATACTAACACCTCCCTTCGGCTGGGGACATTGCATCTTGTTTATCATCTGTGCGTAGAGGTTCCTCAATAAATCCTTTGCCCGTTTCATGGTTTCATGAAATCTTAGCTTGACACACACCAGTCACACTGAATACATTCTGTTTTGCTCTGAAAACAAATTACCGTCTTCCCCAGTTAAAGTTTCAAGTTGATATAAAAAATATAACCATATACAGACCACATTATCAGTTTTATGGCTTAAAAATGTCTTATTGGAACTTGCCCAATTATAGACTGTCGCGAACAACCCCGTATTTTGGTCGAACAACTCTTACAGAATACTGCATTTGGAAATTTTAATGCGAAAAATCTACTGCTTGGTATAAATTAAACAGTGTAGGTCAATAATAACATTTACAATCGTTGAGGTACTACGTGTAAAAAAAGTCCTACATTTTATCCACAATAAGTATTTTTTTACCAATGGAATTAAACCAAAATTTTAGATCATGTAACAACAGGGCAAGACACATTCTATTGAGTGAGTTTCATCAACTTTTTGCAGTAGTGAGATTTAAAGGGAATGTACATCATTGGCTATTGCTGTAATTTTCAGAAATGAACTATTTGAGGGGTTAGTATAATAGATCAAATACTGTTACACTGACAAGTTTGAAGTTTTGTGTTCGAAATATGATGCTGGAAAAACCAAGAAAAACAAATATGTTCAAGTAGTCTGGCTCCCTGACTCCACTAAAAATAAAATGAATAAATTTATTGATGCCCGAAAATTGTAAGGTAAGGAAACCAGTCTAGCTAGCCTGCACCCGTTCATGAACATGTAACCAATAGCAAACAAAATTTGGACTGAAAAAAACGTTAATTTGGAGCAGTAGTTGAAAAATAGTTAGGTTTTTCCAACGGTGGTCGGCCGACCACCGTAGGAAATTTATACAAAATACCACTTTTCTTGAAATGACTTCACACCAGGTGCCATAGTTTTACAGGATGCTTTAGACTTTCATTTACCAACATCCTATTAAGGAATTTCGTAAAAATTTGGTAGTTTTGTTTTCCAATGTTTGCAAATGTTGTATATTCCCTTTAAAGTCATATCCCATACGAAAAAAACCCACTTTCAGAATCTGCCACTTTCGACTTGGCACCCTCCAAAGTCGAGACAGCGCTGGAGACGCGTGTTGTGGCCGAAAGCTTCTGACGGAATGCAGGATCACCCCTGATGTCATTGCACATTTCGATGATCGTTTGGCGCAACACACGACCGAGGAGGTGTGCAATGACATCAGGGGTGATCCTGCTTTCCTTCAGAAGCTTTCGGCCGCAGCACGAGCCTTCCGCCTCCGTCTCTAGCGCTGTACCAACATTTTGAAAGTGAGGTTTTTTTTTCGAATGGCGTTCAAATCTCACTCTCATGCACAAAGCTGATGAAACTCGCTCCATAATATTTGTCCTGCCCTGTTTACATCATCCGAAATTTTGCTCGAATTCCATTGGTAAACAACACAGTAATTTAGAATCAAAAGTAGGACATTTTTTTCAGTACGTTTTCCACACAAAACTTAGATTAATACATAAACTACTTGGCCGTTAGACTCAATTAAACAGGGATTCACCAAATTTTATTGCGTGGTTTGGTATATGTCTTTTTAGATGTTGAGTCTATATATAAACACATTCGCATTCTAATGGCTTATGAAATTCAACGCAACTATACGATAACTTTGTAGTATACATGTCATGCACTGTTACGGGGGTCGATAGATCTATTTAGTTAATTATATGATGCATGCTGACGACATTCAATTATCACATACTGAGAAAGCAATATTGCATCCTTGGTAATAAGAACAGAACTGCAAGAAAAAAAATTTAAACGGATTGCATTCCCCTCAATTTGCATAGAAACACAACTTAAATACGAAAACATTGTTATGCCCAATTCCGATTGAATTGAAATTAGGTAGAGGAGCCATTTCTTTTGAAAAACTTTGCGCAACATTACTTGCAGCATTTGTTGAATTATGATGACCAAGTTTTTTCCTCTTAAAACCACTTCGCGCCGGGATTATATTTGCAGAAAATTTCGATTTTCACAAAAGGCTATTTTTTTCAGCCCAACTTCTGAAATACAGCTAAACGCCACAAATACTGATTCACAAGAGTAATTTCAACATTTTGTACGATATTTCTTGCTGAAACCTTGTATGTTTCAACACTTCGGTGTAAATTGAACAACTGTAGGCCGTGCACAACGGCCAATTCAAGATCAGCACACGGTCCGCCTCCACAAACTTAACGGACTTTGTGTTTGTGTGCTCAAAAGGCACGAGGGATTAGCGTGTTTAGACGTCACCGGCACCTGGAGGCGAGTCGAGGTAATCTTGTCGTCTTAACCCGTCCGCCGTGCCTGTGTATAATAACAGCCAGTGCGTGTTATCACGTCCTCCAACGCGAACTGGTTAAGTGTGAAATTTACTCTCGACTTTTTATCTCGGCTTAGCCGATACTGCAGTTAACCAACATATGCTTTGCAATATGGCTTTATACTCTTTTGGAAATTTTTCACTGTGAGCCACAAACTTACGAATTGAAAACTAAGGTCTAAAAAGTCTTTTTGTTAGCATTATTCTTTTTAATTGGGTGGCAACTGAATATGACCTATCTGTAATGGTTACATTTTGAAAATGAACTCAATACCGACTAATTTTGACCGACATCAATAATACGCTACCAACGCTAACTATTTGCTTCAAAAGGGCGCCTCCAGCGACGAGTCTCTGGAAGGTTGTGTCGTTTGGCGGGAAAAGCTTCTGTGTCGAAATATGTTCCTCTGCAGTGAAATGAGAGTACTGTAAGTGACCTGCAGACGAACGCTTTGGTCCTCAAGTTTCCTTTTAAGGTCGGCGATGACTTTTTTCAGACGGTCCCTTCTGTGGACAACAAGCTGTTGTTTCAATTTGGTTTTCTCGCGCATGCGCAGGTCCTCCTCCTCTTGAGCCAATCGGATCTTCTCATCCACAGCCGCCTTCTCGTCTCGGAGACGCCTGACTTTCTGTTCCAAGCTCTCCCGGATTTGACCAATGCTTCGTGATTGGTTACCGGATTGACTGGCGGCACCGCCCATCCTATTTGAGCCAATGGACTCCTCTGAGTCTGTGACGTCATCTACCGATTCCTCTCTCTCCGTGATGTCATCCAAGATCTTCTCCACTTCTAGCTCTTCAGTCAGACTGAGGGAATTTTCGGAAATGCCCGAGTCTTCGGTGACCAGTCCGCAAGACTCCAGCAGTTCCCCAGAGCTGGTCAGGTCCCCACTTCCGCTATTGTCAAAACCAACGTCATCGTAGGGTGATTTGGGTGACGTCACTACTTCACGTGCACAGAATGTCTCGTTGGCATTCACCTCCAAGTTGTCCAGTTTGGCCGCCATGCTGAACTCCACGTCAGGCGGGCATGCTCTGGATACATCGTGTCGCACACAGATCCCTCCACTCGCTCTGCCTGTTTTGTTATCCATCAAATGATGAAATTTCATGATTCCTTGGTCGGCTTGGTGTCGTCCGTTAGCCACTATGGCGGGATGTTTTCACGAGAGATAGAGCTCAAATCTGGAACAGGATAAATGAAATCAAAACAATGAACTGATGGAAGTACATATCGGGCACGCTGTGGATGTTTGTACAGTGCTCGGTAGCAGGTGCTTTGATGGCAGTGCAGCAAACCGCTAGGGTCATCGGTCGGTCTCTTTAAACAAAACTGACAAGTAACAAACAAGAAAGACGGGAAATATCCCGGAGCTGCTGTCAAACGCACACTTGTCATGAAAACATGACGAAAATGGGAAACCTGTCAGAATGGATAGCAATTTCGGCCAAAAAACCCTTATATAAGACTGATTGCTTGAAGGCTTTTGACTTTTATTCAGCAAGGTTTTTTTTCCAAATTGCTAACCGGCCAAAGAAAGTGTTTGCAATTTAGTAGTCTACCCTCGCGGTTATGTTGAGACTTGTCACGAAGCCTAACATCACGGTAAAAATGTCCGGATGATATTTCGCAGAGGAGAAAGCTTTTAAACGTTGTCCGCAGCATAAGGTAGAGAGCTCTTCAGTGATCTCGTTAAGACGATGGTGATGAACGTGCATGTCAGTTGAGCCGCAGCATTTTCGGAAATCAACCACTCGAACCGACATCTAAGACGAAAGTGATCATCAGTGCATCTCCCTACAAACCGTCTGCCCTTATATACGCTCAGTCACTGATTTACATAATGCACGCACGTCTGCAGTGTGTGGGATGCGCGCATCAATATTCATCATGATTTGCGCGCATTACGCTTGCATAAATTAGACCTCAATATCGCGTTTCCACGTAAATTTTTAAAGGGCGAAAATAGTCTGGTCTCGTTTAAAGCTTACCCAGGCGAATAGATATAAATTAGAATAGGAGTGATTTTATGATAATTCAGTTGGATATTATATGTACAGGTCAATGGTTAAATACTGTATGCAATGTTGTAACATAATTGGGGTTTAATTAGATTTGTCAAAGTACAAAATATTAATAGAACTAGCTGTCTGTAATCTACACAATGGTAATGGCCGTATCGATTGATACATTGGAGCGCTTGGTTTGTTCCCCACGGAAATCAATGCTTCTCTGAAAATGTCTCCAGGAAATTTATTTCAATTGATGTAACAGTACACCATAAATGTCGATTAGATTAAGAAGTTGGATGGAGCACTATAAGAAATGATCGAAGAGTTCAGTGGATGTCGCTGCACGGTTGCCCTTTCTCAAGAGACACAATTTTCTCCCGTTTATTCAGCAGACTGTGGTTCCCTCAAATGAGTATTACCTCCGCCAAGGAGGTAATGTTTTCATCGGCGTTGGTTTGTTTGTTGGTTGGTTGGTTGGCCTGTCTGTGAACACGATAACTTTGAGGGGTGGTCCTTGGTACAAGTACAAATCGATTAGATTTTGGAAGTGATCCGGATCTGGGTCCGGATGCAGGATTAAAAAAAAGGATTTTCCATCATTTTGTATATGCGAATATGCTATGTGTAGAGACCATGAACTTCTGCGTACAACTGAGTAGCTTCGTGCGCGTGCACTGACCCGGTGACCCTGTATGCTTTATCACCTACCTAATCTAACCACACAGGTCAACGGACTACACCATTTAATACAAAAGGGGAGTGGACAGGTAAACCGACGTAGATGTAAACTACAAAATGTTTTGAGTTTAAGGCTTTGCTTTATTGAATAACTAACGATATAAAGAGGCCAACATTGCTACTTTTCGATACATTCAGAAAACAACAATCCTGTTGATATTTTAAATGTGCAATAAAATATGGAAGTCATGCGAATATTTTCTTGGGTGTACTGACATATGGCGGGAAAATGTTAAGCCTTGGCGGAGGTTTGCGCTACCTGAGTGCTTTCTAGTTTTGAAAGTATTACGCAATGGATACTTGCTGTGCCATGTCTTATTATTTTTTTGTTATTGATGAACGACATCGACGATGATTCAAAACTGCTGACATTATAATAACTTAACATTTCACATTGACGTAAGCAAAGCATCATCACCTACGCTGTATTCTAATTATAGTTTTACTTTGCCGCTGGCGAGGAAAATGTTTGGTCCCTGAAACATTCGCACCGACCAAAAACAAACTGCGTGGTATGCGAGTCATTGCCACTGACGCTAATTCACTGGAATCATCATAGCGTTCGATCATGTCTCGCCGAGCCCACGCAAAATGATTTGTAATATGAATTCCGAGGAAAGGATGATATTAAAAACTGCGGTTTTGAACAAGATCACTTTGCCATTAGAAAGTAATTTTGAAACGGAGGCAGGCACTAGAGGAAAGATCAATTTGAAAAAAAAAAGACGCGGGGATGTGGCGTGTAACATTGTTGACTTTGCATTACAAATGAGAACAGGATCTCCACTGTTTTTTTTGTGAGGGGTACGTAATGATTTACAGGTTCCACTTGTCTGGACATGGCTTTTTTTCTTCTAAATACACGAGTGTTTTCTTCATTCCATGTTTTCTTACATATGATTGATTAAATCCCTAGTTCTCTGATCAAACATGAGACCGTCAAGCGGACGGTTAGAAAAGTCCATCAATCTTACGGAGACCATACCTTAAGTAGTGATAAGCTTTTAAAAGGTTACTTAAACTCAAAGACAACGCCGCCGGAGAATTGTATCGTCGCATTGAATTTGGCGAAAACGACACTTGTTATACAACACTATAGTTATATGTGATATTTCGGTGTGCAGTCAGGGCGATCAATCTTAGATATTTACCGTAAAGTTTCTTTACTTGTCTTCGTTTTTGTTATTGGTGGTGGTGGTGGTGGGGGGGGGGGGGGGTGGTGGGGGGATGAATTACTGCCGATGCGTCAAGAATTATTTATAAAGCAAATTAGTTTGTTTTTGTAGCAGAAAAGTTGAAAGGAAAAAAGGCTACATAATTTTTGTTCTTAGTCAAATAAATCAAGTCAAAAAGAATCGAGTTACTCCAATACGCATGATATTTCTCAGACTTTTGTCTGAAATCAGACTTTAACTAATTGCCCTTCAAGTAATACTTTCAAATATAAACTAAAATTGTTCGTATTCTCAGAGTGCCTGATTCATTATTACGTTAAGTTGATTTAGCCGTTAATATTGAATGTTATTTATTGTCGTTTCTGCTTTGTTTATCTGCTTTGTTTAACTGTTACATATTTTAATATTGTTATCATTTGTAAATTCTATAATTAGTGTTGTTTGTCTTGTTTTGTCTTGTTTTGTTGGGCACATCCACCACAAGCTTCGGCTTTTTGGGATGATTCCTCCACAGAGTGAAAATAAATGTTTAATGAATTGAATTTGGAATCCGAGAAAAAGGCATTAGGCCTATAGTACCGAAAGATGTGCATTCAGACATTTCATCAATTTTCAGACTTTTTTACTTGACAATCCCATCCCTGCAACCTTTTTGTTAATCGAATAATTCATCCCAGACGCTTTTCAAGCGGACCATGGATCGCCCATGGCGACTTTGACCGGAACTGTATAATCACTGACCCATGGTGCGTCATGGCGTTGCTGGAAAGAAGTCTATCGATCTGATGGAAAGGATGATTAGAGGAATGCCCTGGAACATTCTACGTTTGGTGGTGAATGCAGGGGGACAGACCAGTACTGTCGATCAAAGGATATAGACACCCGCCCTAGAAAACCAGACCAGATTTAAATTGATGTATACCTCAAACTTGAATCGTCTTGGAGATATTTTCTTCGGACATTACCGAAAATAACAATAATAAAAAGAGCTGTTTCGGTGTATTCCGAAACAGCTAATAACGCGGTGCTTATATAGCGCTTTTTATATAGGCTACCAACGGTCTTAAAGCGCTTCACAATTATTACCCTGTTCGTCAGGCCATGAGACCATTTTTTTGGCAGCAGCTCGAGATTGGCGCATTCTGGATTCTACCTTAACAGGTACCCATTTATACTCCTGGGTGGAGAGAGTCAATTGTAGTAAAGTGTCTTGTCCAAGAACACAAGCACTATGTTCTCGTTTATAGTCCAAACCACGGCACGTGAGTCGAACGGTAACCATTGGAGTGTTCCAATGCTCTCGCAAAGGAATGATGTTCTCTTACATGCTTTGTCATGTAACAGAGTCACGAACATCAATATCTCAATGAAATTATCGAAGGAGAAAGTATAGCATTCATTAAGGCCCCCCCTAAAAATGTCAGTGAAGGTCAGTTTTGATTAATAACATGCCACGGTTAATGGTCACTTTTGGCCAGAGTTACCCTTGACCCGAGTGCTAAATTGCCCTTGGCCCGATGAAAGATTTCACTGCAATATAAAATCTAATTAATGACTGATAAATATTAAAATACATACGCCAAACAGTCGAGAAAATGCCGTGATTTGTCACCAAAGACACGGACATTTTGACCTAACGTTGTTGATATCTAAACACGGCATAAATGATACATGTTTACGTTACATACCTAGTGTGGACATTCGTTTGTTTTAGTGTAGTTAAGAAAAACCTATGAAAAAAACTAATTTTACTCACACTGTGAAAACTCTTTCAACCCATTTCTTTCCTATGATTCCCTTTAGCGTTTCTCTTCGTTTTGCCACGGATAAACCTAACCCCAAAATGCCTCTAAACCTGTTTTTTCCAGAGAGGGGGAAACATTGTGTGGACGTGGGCAAGTCCACACAACGTCGCTGCTACCTGGTTTATGCGGACATCTTTTGTTCGGAAGTCCACACAGTGAATGTTATGCTTGTACAAATAATTGTTTTCATGCAAATAGCAGTAAGGATATTCATCGGTGTATTTATTCTTGTGCAAGTGAGGTTTTGTCAACTCAATCACTGTGATTTCTTGCTTCAGATAAAGTGAGTCAAACCACCACAAAAAAACGAGCATATCATCTGTACAACTATGGTATTTTAGTCATGCACAACATAACGACAGAGACATGTATTATTAAAAATGTTTTGTTTGAGCTAACTTAAGTGGAACTCTCGACGGTGGAACGGTACTCATATTTCACGAGCAAGACTTTC